CTTCCCTTGTAGGTACCACAATTTTATGTTCATTGTGGAGAGCAGGACCAATAAAATGGCCTTGGTCCAGTCAAGATAGCATAAAGTATGTAAAACAAAGTGGAATCACTCATGTCAACCAAGATGGCTGTCAGTCAGCCATGACACTTTAGTTCAAGAGGGAAACTACCTAAGTCACATTAAACACATCTGGCAAGGAGACACACTTAAGATATCTGCACACGTGGTCCGAGCAGACACGTCTGGCAAGGAGACACACCTAAGATATCTGCAGAACAGCCGTGTCTGCAGAGTGGGACCTATAGATAGGCTCCGGGGGAAATTCCCTACTTGCCAGCAGGGGTGTCAAGTAGAACAGCCATGTACCACCCATAGGCTCCTGGGCCAATTTCCCACTTGGCATCAGGGGTGCCAAGACATTTATCAAAAAGACCCAGGAGGGTGGAGCACACCACTTTCAGGGTACAACTGAGGCAGGCCCCAGACCACTGCGGAGACAGCCAAACTCCACACACCAGAGCGCTGCTCCGTGCCACGCTGACCTCCCTCCAGAGGCTCTGCCCTGCTGGACTGGGGACCTCCTCTGCCCTGCTGCCCACCTGGCTCTGGAGATCCTTGAAAGACGCCGACAACTCCCTTGCCTACCGTGCTGTCTGCCGGGCCTGCAGGCTGAGACTCTGGGACTCGGGTTTGTTATTCCCCATTGAGTTCTGTGTGTGTGTGTGTGTGTGTGTGTGTGTGTGTGTGTGTGTGTGTGTGAGAGAGAGAGAGAGAGAGAGAGAGAGATATTCCTCTTAGACTGTTAGAGTGTGAGTAGGATGTTAATGTATGTTGATGTTCTACTTGGAGTGAACCTGCATTCAATAAAAGCTGAGTGAAGAGCCCAGTTACTGTGTGACTCTTGTCTGTTCCTTAGTGCCGGGCTGCTCAGCAGGCAGCGAGCCCAACAGTTGCCCGGCTGCCTTATAGGAAAGACTATATCATGAACATACGCTCGTGACACTCATAAAACCACTGTGATCAGGTTTCAGCTAGTTTTACTTAGCAACGTCTCTTCTGCCTTAGATCTTTAATAAACTTCAACTCTATGTATATGCAACAAATGTTATATCCAGGGATCACAAAGTCCTTGAATAACAGATACGAAGTCTATTTGCGACCCCACAGAGTGGCTTATCCAAGATCTGTTTTCGGGTGATCGTTTTAGCGTGGACTGATAATTTCACCAGATAATAAAGATATTTCTTTTCCTTTTTTCCCAGCTGGAGCCTCTTGTCCCTAATTTAATTAAGCCATAAATATACAGGGGTGGACAAAAGTAGGTTTACAGCTGTGAGGACTTGAAACACAGTTTATTGCTGTATTACTATTTATTAATTATTATATTTTTATTTGTATTAAACCTGCAAACCGACTTTCGCTAACCCCTGCATTCTTTCCAGGAAAAGAATGAGTGGCACAGAGAAGGGATCTATAGCCATGGTATGTGAGCAAGTATGGTAGGACCTGGGCTACTTTAGCCCAGAGCAGTGAGATGTCTTCAAATATCCACAGGACTACAGGAGGGAAGTGGGGGAAACTTTATGCTTTGTAATTTTTACTCCTTTTGGAATATTCCCAGTGGCCGGAGACTCTCTCCCCCAAGTTACACCATTTCATTGGCAGCAGCTGAAATGGTAGGAATGTTCTGGTGTGTAAATGCACCTTCAAACACCCGTAGACAGATTCTACCCCCTCTTTCTACCCAGTCTCAAAGAGCCTTTTCTTCTCCTAGCTAAATGTCGCTAATATTTTTTGTTCCTTACCTAAAAACAAACAAAAAAAAAGTCAAGAGCCCTTTCCATCCTATTTAATCTCTTATGAAAACATTGCAGCCTGTGAGTGACCCTCTGAAAACCTGGGGCCCAAAGTCAGGCTGCAATATACCAAGTATAGCCTGACCAGTGAAGAAAAGAGTGGAACCTTCTGTGTCTTCCTGAGTCCAAATACTATTTCTGTTAAGATCATCTATAATCAAAATATGTGTTGTACTTGCCTCTAAGTTCAATATGCGAACAACGTAATATAGGTGCCCCAAACCTGAAAGAACATTTGTGCATAACCCAAGGACACAGACAGCAATATGGGGATCGGCCTGGGGAGGGGACAGGGTGTGGGGTTGGGTGGAGGCGGGCAAAGGGAGAAACGCAGGACCAACTGTAATAGCATAAACAATCAAAAAAATTTTTTAAATCCTTATCTTTTGTCTTTTTCACAAATATGTTGTCTGTAAGCCATGTCTTCCCAATTCTTTTCTTAAAGGTTTTATTTCCCCTTTGTCTTGTTTTGGGGGGGAGAATCATCCAAAGTTACGAGCTTACATTTATGTTTATTACAATTCTTAGTGTCCTTTTGAATCCCAAGTCTATAACTGTCTATATATCCCTCGTTTTTATTTGAGTGTTTGCTCATTATGCCACCAATACTGTCCTCTATACAAGCGCAAAATTATTGAAGAGAGCGAAGCCAAAGCCTAGTGTTTTTCCTTCTTCAGAAATTGTCCTCCAGACACATATCCATTCTAAAAATATATTTTATGAGTGCCCTTTACCCGGCACTTTCGAGGCCATTCCAAACATTTACAAATCCCTTAAGTTTAATCTCCATATTTCTGTTACAGGAAGACTTTCCTCAATTCCTTAGGAGACCCTCCTATTCCATTTCTCCAGCATTCTCCCCTTGTTTTTTCCATTCCAGAAATCCTATTGCAAAACGACACTGCATTATCCTGCCAAGTCCTATCTTCAATGAGCGAACACCAGGCCTAATGATTACGGATTCCTGTCCTAAAAGCTTAGGAAATAAACTTGTAAATAATTAATTCTAGACCCTTGCAAAGAGCAACATCAAGAACACAAGTTTTGCAATACTTTTTCTTCTCTTTGAAATACAGGACTACAACTAGCAATCTCTAGATATGTGACATCTGTGACTACTTAGTGACTATTTCTGGTGATTTAGCATCAATAGTTTGCATCCACACGTTTTCTCAGGGCCCAGGGGAGCTAGTCTTCTAGCTGGGAGACTTACACCCAATTCCAGCAGTAGGGTGCTCATTTGCCATCTGTAATCCATTGCACATGTCATCTCCTTCCTACCAATATTTGGTTTACTTTTTCTGATCTGGTATTGTCTTTCTCCTTGACAAGGAAGCTGGAAGCCAAACACATGTGTGGTTCCTCTCAATTACAATGAAAGAACTGGGGCTGAGAGAGAAGGAAACCCAGTGTATTTGTGATATGGCCAAGACCAAAGACCACTTGTTCGGATACCTGCTTCTCTTTGTGCTCTACCACAGGCATCTTGAAAAAAAAAAAGAGTTGCTAAATGACTAACACAGGATGTATGATCACTCCGATTATGTTGGAATGAATAATCTCAATGGACTTTTAGAGGTCCAAAGAGTTTAAATAATTTGACCAAGAACATACAGTACAACTCCAGATTCTTACGGTGACGTAAAGGTTAGATTCAACACAAAGCCTGGAAAGGATGAGAAAGGGTATTGAAATTCCAAGAACAGAAAACTGGGTGATGGAGGACAATGAAGGTGGCAAGTGCGACATAAGCCATTAAGATTTTCCAGCTGTGCCTAGTGCCCACTGCCTTGTCCACATTGAGTCCACATTGGGAACTGGCTGGGGGGCCGTGGGTGAAAAGTCTGGCTCTGAGACTTTTCTGAATATATTAGAGTTTCAAGAGCTCTAAAGGTAGCAGAGCAAGCCACCTCCAGGCTCCAGCAAAGGCAACGGCAGCTGCTGCTTGCAGTCCAGCAAGCAGGGATCTCCCCCACCCCCGTCCCTAGTTTTTGACCCTCTGCCAAAAGGTTGAGGACCCTAGGGTTTACAGGCTGGAAAGACAACCGCTCTCCGAAGCAGCAGGCGCCATCTACTGGAGGGTCACCCCACCTGCCTTTCTTTTTCAAGAAAGTGCTAAGGCTGACCCAAAGAGTGACTGCTCGGTTTAGTTGGGCCTTTCTTAGTTTTTGTTTTTTATTTTGCTGTCCTGCTGAGTTTTTAAAAATATATCTTAAAAAAAATATTGGGGGCTGCCCTGACTGGTTGTGGCTCAGCTGGTTGGGTGACGTTCTGCAAAGGGAAGGGTCAAAGAGTGTCCAGTGAGGGGGTATGCCTGGGTTGCGGGTTCAGTACCCAGTCAGGGCGCCTGCGAGAGGCAATCCATTGATGTCTCTCTCACATCGATGTTTCTCTCCCTCTCTTTCTCCCTCCCCTCTCTCTAAAAACAAATAAATAACATCTTTTTTACCACACTGGAGACAGACATATATCTTCAACAATTATAAACGACAACACATTCGAAAAACTACATGTAAAAAAGAAACCAAATTTAATCCTTTGTCCCTTCCTTTTCTTGTAGGACCCTCCAAAGTCAGGAAAACACTACAAACTTGTCTTTTCCCTTTAATTGCCCAGTTCCTCAAAATGTATGGACTAAATCTTAGGGATACAGTTTGCACCGCGCGTAGCGGCTTTGCAGAGAGGTCAGTGCCCACCCGCGGGAGTTGTGGCTGTACAACAGAGGGGAAAGGCAGTGCTCCCTGGCCTAGAAGAAATAAAGGTTATCACTCTCGGGGGGAATTTTCTAGATCTTTTGCAGCGAGTGTGGAGTGTGTCGTCTGTTCGGAAAGTCAGCTAACAACTACCAACCATTACACGCAAATATTCCTTGTCACAGGCTTGGCCACCCTCTCCCTGGGGGCTCTCAGTCCCCTGCATCCCGGCCTGCTTCTCCTCGCTGGCCCATCGCTGACGACGGCAGCTTTCAGCCATAGCTGGCTGCGGGTCTGGGCTCCGAGGTCCGCTCCGCAGGCCACAGGCCAGTGAAGATGTCTTATTCTGCTTGGGGCACCCCAGACCTGACTCCTCCCGGGTGAGCTGCCAGGTTGGAGCACCAGGACCGCGCGCAACACCCTGTCAGCTGTGAGGCGCCCCATCGCTTACCTGGAGTCCCGAGCAGGATGATCAGGAAGCGGCAAGCCAAGACGGCCAGGGCACCATGGCCATGGCGGGGTGCAAACATCGTGGGGCACAGAGTGCAGTGCGCACTCTCGCTTCCTTCTGAGTCCTCTGGCTCCTCGGTCCGATGAAAAAGGCAGGGAGTGGGCGGGGTGGGGGGGGGAGGTCAAGGGTTTAAGGTAAAAGATCTAAACTCTGTCTTCTGACTTCTCACCTCTGAATTCTGACCCTACCGCCTCTTCCAGGCCCCCTCCCTTGCTACTCTCTCAGCCCAGGGCCGCCCTCCTCCCCTGAGACCCCTCCTAGGGCCTCGGAGATACCGAGCTATTCCATGAGAGGAGCACAGCCTAGGCAGTCTCGCAGGGACTCTCGCTCTCTGCCTAACGCCGTATCTCCTCCCAGGCCCACAATTCCCTGACAACCTTCGGTGGCAGGTGAGGTGTCGGGGTTCAGGACGCCCGTACACCGAACCTGCAACTGGGGCAGTCGGCGCCGGCACAGGTACCGCTTAGCTTCTCTGCGGCGCTCGCAACTTTTCTGCCACTGTGTTGAGAGGAGGCGGCAAAGTTTGTCTCTGGAGGGAGGAAGTTCGGGACAACCGGGGGAGAGGATGGGAAGGAGGGAGGAACCAGGAAAGGGAGCCTGGAGGAGTGCGTGGAAGAGCCCAGAGGAGGCTAGTGCAGCTATCCAGGAGAGCGCCCCTAAGCGACTGATGGCCCTGGGGCTAAGCGCCTCGGTGCGGTTGGGAGGGAGCACCTGCCGGAGCTGCATTTCCCTTTCCTCCTTTCAGGAGCCCACCAGTTCCCTCCCCCAGGCTGATTTCTTCTTGGCCCGAGTTTCGGACGGTATCCGGGAAGGATGTGGGGGGTTCTTCGGGCAAAGAAAGGAAGCGTAGACGTCAGCGCGAGTGCTCCCCAAGGAGAGCAGTTCTGGAGCTGACTTCAGGCCTTCTGAGGCAGCAGGTTACTGTGTGCTCATAAGGTGAGGGCTGGGGGCAAATGGGTACCACAGTCTGCCATACCAGCTGGATAAGAACAGACAGAGACAACAGCACTCAAGACAGCTGGGGTGGGGGGGGGCGGCTATGGAGATACAGATTCTAGGGAAGTAATTGGCAAGTAGCAATGGGCATCTGGTAGGGGGTGTATGTTTGTTTTTAGCACAGCCAGCTGAGACTTTATTTTGGGAAGAAACACTTGATTTGGCTTATTAGTCGGGGGCATGGGTAACAGGCGGTCCCCCAGACAGTAAACCCCCACCCCAAGGCTGAGCTGAGGGCTGTGGCAGAGCCTCACTCGAGTCCCTGTGCCCTCCACTTCCCTGCGCAGTTCCTTTCCCGCATGCCCGGAGGACAGCCGACCGCAGCAGTCGTTCATTTGGACAGGACAACATCAGGTGACTCAGACACTAATTTCCCATCGCAGGTCTCAATCTTCTTCACAACCACCATCTTAGAGGAGCTTGCACTGGTGCGGCCGAAGGAGCCAGGGCCCCCGCCAGAGCCCAACCTGGCCTGCAAGTCCTCGCCAGCCATAGTTGACGTTCCTGTAAGTCAGGCTCAGTAGCCACTGGCGGCCGCAGTATGGGAAGCCATGTTCTGCATCCCAGACTCCAGTCGGTCCTCCTTGCCCTCCAGCAGCTTGCACACTTTTGAATGATCACACCCAGAGGGCAAGGGACCCAGGATGTTTGTACCCCTTCCCCATCAGTCATTGTTTAAGAGCTACTCCCAGGACAGGGCAGGCAGTAATTCCCAGGCACTTCTGGCCTGCCATATATGTTCTGGGAAAGTGAGTTCTGGTAGCCTGATGGCGGCCCTCCAACAAAGATGCAGGTGCTGGTGACTGAAGCTCAGGTTGGTGTCCACAGAAATCACAAGGAGAGGTAGATGGAAGACCAATAGCCTCTGCTACAATACATTAGCATGCATCCTCATCAATATTATCATCAGCTCTAATATATTCAATAGCTTCTGTGTGTCTGGCCTACTGCCATGTCGCTATAGGAATGGACGCCACAATGGCATGAGAGCTTCACACAGGGGAGGTCTGAGTTTCAAGCCAGCTCATTCACTAACTCCGTGACCCTGATCCTTACCTTCCTCATCAGAAAAATAGGAAAAATATTCACACCTACCCCTTAGGGTTATGGTGAGGAACCCATCACAGAGCTCAGCCCATGAGCTAGTACTCCATTGATACAAGCTAGTATTTATTAATAACGGAAAGGATTTGGAGTTGATCCTGTTGTTTAATGATGAAATGGGGAAAGTCTATGCCTATAGGTATGGGGCTGGGAATGACTCTGGGCTGCCTTAGCTAATGTTGAACAGAAAACAGACAGCATGTAATCTAGTGACCAAGGGGCTGGACATTGAGTAGGGTTCCGGTTGAAGCTTTACTTGTGGTTGGCTCGCTACCAGAGCTTGGAAGCTCACTTCTCTCATCCCAAGAATATACACTTAGAGAGGAATTTGCCCTTGAAGGTGATTTACCACTCCATAAGCACCATGCAAGTAGGCGTGACATCTAATTTGTTTACCTCTAGGTTGCAGAGAGTGGAAGTGTTAGGCACGCAAGTACGTATTTGTTGGATAAATAAATAAAATGAGTACAAAGGGATATACGAGCTTTTTACTTAATCTGACCTAATCTATCAGGATTTTAGTCATGCTATTTCCTTCACTTGGAATACCCTCTTAATTCTCTTCCCACCCTTTGCTTCCTGCCTATGCTACATGTGTATGGTTTAAAAAAAAAAACCCTTGCCCTAAGAGAAATCTGACCTTTGTCCTCAGCTTCTGGGAGGTAATCTGTAAGCCCTTGGAATGGCATATTTGATAGGAGTGATTTAGGGCAAGGTTTTGGCCACACCAACAATGTGATTTTAGGGTGGGGACCATGTTATCTGGCATCAGATCACTTCCTGAGGAGACTGGAGACTGAGGTCCGCCACAGGGCCAGTGATGGAGCCCCAATCAAATCTCTAGGAGCTTGGCTAAACTACTCGGATTGGCAGCACGCCATGCACATTGTCACATATTGATGCTGAAAAAGTAACCCTGTCCTGACTTCACAGGCAGAGGACCACTGAAGCTCTGCATTTACTACTCCCTTGGACTCTCCCCTGTGCTTATGTCCTTGGCTGATTTTAAACTGTTTCTTTGAGGCTTCATAATTCTGTGGGTATAACGGTGAGTTCTGTCAGTCTCTTTAGTGAACTGTCAAATCTATGGGTGCTCTTGATTTGGAATTGCAGTTGGTGTCAGAAGGGAGGGTAGTATTCTGGGTCAACTGGTTGCCCTAACTTCTCTGTTGCTCTAACCTTTACAGCATGGTAGAATTTCCCATCTTCTGAAGCCTGGTTTAAACCTTTCCTTATTTGGTGGAGTTTTCTAATATTCACCCATATCTAGTTCTCCTGCTCTTCTGAGCTTGCAGGCTTTTACGGTTTTCTGCTCCCTTAAAGTTGGGTAAGGCCATGTGGTCAGTTCTGACATTTTGATCTATAACTGGAAGCAGGGCTAGAGAGTTTTTTATAAGCGAGAAACACTCTAGGACTCTCTCTCCAGCTATGGTGATCATAGAATATGTGTTGAGAAGGAAATGTAGTAAGGCAAAAGCAGACCAGATTGAGAACTATCACATGGAGAAGAGCTCACCTGGACCCACAGTAGGATTTACATGAGCAAGATATAAAGTCTTGTATGTTAGGCCATTGAGATTTTGGGAATGTCTATTACTGCAGCACAACCAAACTTATCCTGACTGGCTACAGAGATTTTCCTCAGTCAGAAGTAACCATGCCATTCACTGAGTGCCTCCAGAACCCCATCCATCCCTGTTGTAGCACATGCTTGCTTACATGTTTTCACTAAACTCTGAGTGACTATGAGTAGGGTTTTTATTTTGGTCGTCTTAGTATCCCTAGTGTACCTACCACAAGGCCTGGTTGAGATTATATGCTCAGGATATGCGTGTTGAATCTAATTCATCTGGTTGGCAGCAGGACTATGGAGAGGCACGGCTGTTGTGAAGACAGACATAAGCTTGTCTAGCCAAAAAGTCTTAAACAATCTACTGGAAAGCTAAGTATAAGGAATAGAGGCTTCTGAAGAACACAGGGCCACTACATACCTATGTACCATCCCTCTTTTATTCTTACCCAATGACAACAAGAAAGCATCTATATAACACACGTGGCCTGCTGGACAAGGCCACAACCCAAGACAAAAACGGGAGAGATGAAACCAGAATAGTATACTTCTAGGGGACATGAATTTTACCTTCAAACATCCCTCTTCAGCTGTATTGCAAACCCAGCTAGTCTTATGAATGGCCAGGCTGGACTGCTCTCGTGCAGGTGGTAGGACTTCCGGAAGTGCAGAAAAGTCTTATATTGTTTTCTGGGACCTGGCAGGTAAAGGCCTGGCAGGCAAGATCTACCTCGTCAGTCCTACATCCCAGTAAGGACAGAAGCTTCTGGGAGCCAGGGGTGAGCAACATAAAGAAGGAAATCCCAAAGGGTCCGAAAGCTTGGCGGGCCAAGTGGCACAGTAGCGACCTCCATGACTGAACCACTGAGGTAAAGCCAAAGCCCACAGTAGGGACCATGGTTCTCCTCACACTTGTTTTTGGTATTGTACACAAAAGGACATATGGCTTCAGCCAACTGTTGGAGGCCTAGATCAGAAAACTTAAGAAATAGAGCCCTGAAGGAGCATATAGGGAGTGACATTCACTCACACGTGAGTGCCAGCTTATTCTGTAGTCTTGCTTCAATTTCCCCTGTCCCCAACCTGTGCCACCCCCAGGAATACTCTGAGAGTGAGCAGCTCTGTGAGCAGTTTGAATGGGGTGGGGAATGGGTGAACACTCACAAACTAGGTAACATTGCCCCGCCATATTAAACGGGCCCCTGGCTTCTCCAGTGTGAAATGCAGTTAACGGCCCCGTTGTCAAATGCTTGTCATAAAGACTAAAAGAGACCCTTATATGTAAGGTCATTGAAAACAGGAGGAATTGTTGTATTTAGACAAGCCATAAGCCTCCTCCATCACACCTGGAGGCAGCCTTTCCAGGATACAGATAGGGCAGGGATGACTTGTTTAGGAAGCAGCCTTTCCTGGGAGCTGGGATGAGTATCCTCTCTCCCTTCTGATTCTGGCCATCTGGGCACAGCACAAAGCCATCTCTCCTGACCCACGAGCCACCTCCCCCCGGAAAATCCTGAGGAAAGTAGAACAAGAAGCCATCATCCTTGACACAATGACCTTCAAATGTGGCCCTCCACTTTTGAAGGTCTTCTGAAAACTATACTTTAAAATCCACCACCCCCTCAGCTCCCAGTCAAAAGGAGAAACTTAGTAATTACACAAAGCAAATTGGAAACTTAGTAATTAGAGAGGCAAGTGGCACGTCCATCAATGAATTACAGCAGCACTCTCATCAGTGAATAAATTAGTGAATCAGGGGCCTTCGTCAAGGGCAAGAAGTGGGTAAACGCTCTTAGCAAATCATTTTGGAAGTAGTACAGCCATTCTTTCTGGTAGTAAAGAATACGCATTTATTGTGTGGACCATATAGGGTTTTCAGAAACAATTCTTCTGCTTATGAGACATGTTTGATTTTAGGTACCTCGGGAAAGAACCAGCTGCGTGCAGGGGTGTAAAATGCCCACCGTTCCTCTCCTCACCCCTCCACTGGAGGATCCTCAGAAGGTAATCAGGCAGCACCAAGACCAGATGCGGTCCTCTCGCTCTGCAGGTGGTCATTGAGATTCAAGTCTAGTCACAGGGGAAGCAGGCTGCTGAGAACTGCGCCTTCTGACGAGTTTGGTGGACAGAGATGGCAGACCCCACGGGAAAGGGAAAGGAAAAGGGCGGGGGCAGTAGAGAAAGCGGTTAAATGGAGAGAGAGCCAAGAAATGAAGAAAGGGTAAAAGGTTACTGAAGGAGATGGTTTAATTATCACTTTCTCCAAATCCTGAGGGAGAGCTGCATCCCCAAGGCGTAATGAGACAGGGCTTACACCCTAACCCACGGGCACAGCATCTGCTGTTCCTCCCAATTGCGTAGGTTGAAACAATTATCTGGACCCTTCAGTGCTTTATTAGGGTCAGTGTTTAGTTGTTCTCAAGAAAGGCAGGTGAGGCGGTGCCAGAACACACAGACCTACTACTGTATCTCCGATGGGCAGCATAAGATGCCACCTGGGAGTCTGTGGGCAGCAAGGAGCATCTATGTGTAGGCGACACCATGATGAAAGGAAGAGTACAGTCACTTCAGAATAAGGAATGTGTCTACCTCTGAGGAGACAGAACCGGGAGCATTAGGAAAGAACTGGGATTAGGGGATTCCTCACTGATGTGGCCTCTGGCTGGGTACATAGACCAACTTCCATGCTCCCATGGGTGCCCAGGGCAGGTACTGCATGTGCAGCTGCAAGGAAAAGGAGCAAGGCAAGGAATGGGCCTTCAAGTGTGGCCCAAGGCCCAGGTGATCTGAAGGACAGTCCCATCATCAATCAAGACACTTGGAGTGCTCCCTCATTACAGGATCAAATTTGATTTCTGTGACCAACTCTTCCAGAAATAACATGGAAGGTCAGTGCCCACAGAGTGTCTGGCAGCAGCACAGCAGCGTGGGCAGGCCAGGAGTAGGTGGGGGTAAGCTGCCCCAACCAGGTAAATTCCCTTTATTTTGCAATTGGCAACGCGCGCGCGCGCGCACACACACACACACGCACGCACACACACACACAAATAGCACGAGAGCGATGCCCAGATGTGTCTTTTTACTTCTTTTATTGAACTCCATAAATATTTTCATAAGGCTTTGTGTCATTACAACATCATATTTTTGTTGTTAAACATTTTTTAAACACACAACTTTGACACTTGTTTGACAGGGTCAAACAGTCAGATAGAAGAAACAAAATAAACTGGCAAATGCAGAGCAGCAGGGGTAATCAAAATCGCTGTTGCCCATCCATCCACCCCAGCCCACCCCATCCCCAGAGCACTAAAAGATCACTATTTGGCTTTACACTAGAATTGTTAGAACTCTCTTGTTGCTGTCCTTATAAATCCATTACAGATATACACAGAGAGAGAAGGGGAGAGGGGGAGAGAGAAAGAGGAGTTGGATTTCTGTATTAGGACCATCCCACAGCAGGGCCCACAGAACACATCAGCAAAGCCTTTTGAAGAGCAAATCCGGGCCTCATTGAGTTGAGGAAAGGGGAGCTCAGGGCCATGCAGAAACGAAAGTTTACAGAGTTCTTGGGGATAGCACTGCTGTCAGGACACAGGATAGGCTTGGACTGTGAGCCCAGATAAGGTGGCTCCCCATGGGGCTGCTGGCCACTGGTTTGATTTGCTGCCATAGGCTGGGGGAACACTACAACCAAGGACGAACTGATGTCTCGTTGTTTTCACAAGTTATTGGCATCTGGCGAGGCCAGTGGGTTGGGAGGATGAGAGATGGATGGGTGAGAGGTGGGTGATGAGACATGATCTCCTTGATCCTGCAGCTCTGGGCACAGGCCCAGGGGAGCAGGGGCACAAGGGAGCTTGGCCAAGAGATGTTGTAAGTCCAGGGACTTAGCTAAGCATCCCCTCTTGGTGGGCTCTAAGACCCTGGTGAAATATGTCAAGGCCAAGCCTAGTGGGGTGGGGGGATGGCAAGTAGGAAAGAATATAAGTTCAAGGGAGGTCTGCCCAGCCATTGAAACACATTCTGCTTGCCAGGGAGGCCTTTTGATCTTAGGCACTGGGTACCAGGTTCATTGCCAAGAGGGCTGAAGTTGCTATGTCATGTGCTGAGCAGTGGTGGCCAGTCCCGAGCCCTGACCCTCTGCCCAGCTCACACTTATCCTTGGCTCACTCGAAAAGTCTGATTTGGGTGTGATAGAATGGAAGCTGAAACAGCCCATAATTTGATTCCCACAGAGAAAAAATTCCCAGGCCTGGATCAGGAGACACAGAGCAGCAATCAAACCAGCTACACTGAGGGCCCCATGCAGCCATGGTTGGTGCTCAGTAAGCTGAGGTCCTTTCATGATGAGGTCTTCTACCATGGGGTCCCGGACTGACTCACAATCTCCAGGTTCCTCACTAGAGGGGTTCTCCATAGCAAGGCCATTCCTCACTCTTGTGCACTGCATTCTTCTTGCTGTTCTAGGTCTATCCACCCAACAGGCCATGTGGGGAGGAGAAACAAGTACTCCTACGCCCACAGGAAGCTCTTCGTGGAAGAAGTTGGTTTTACTCAAGTGTAAATTCTGCCAAAAATGAGCCTACGGACAGGGTCACTGTTTCAGATCCGTTCTCCATAGGGAAAAGTCTCCCTGGGATCCTCACTGACTTGTTTCGAATGTCTTACAATGGGAGAGTGTTGGAAACGGGGCCTTCGTCAAGTGCCGGAAGTGCTTTAACTATGTCAATACCAGCAGTCCTCCTGTGCCAGTAGAGCAGGAGAAAGAAGAAAGACAGGAAGAGGGGAAGGGCCATGGAAGATTGTCCATGCAATCTGCTAACAACGGGGGAAGTCTCCAATAACTTGAATGGTAGGAACTGCAGGTACATATCTTGGGCCAAGGCTGTCTCTTTCCGTACCCATCCCTGTACTTTCCTGTAAGAGGTTACTGTCAGCCTTGGATCTTGTCCAGGTAAGTAATTTAAAGGCGGCTTATGAGCTTGATTCAGGTAGGGCAGACTCTGTCTTTACCCCTTCGTAGATGCCTATCAATGCTGCCTAAACAATCTGCAAATGGAAACAGGGATGACCAGGCTTTCGAACTGACTGCAGAGGGGAGCCCTGTCTTAAACCTACTCGGTCCGGGAGGTGGTTGAATTCCTCCCACAGGAGGCAGAGGCTCAGCCTGTTTGCTTCCAGTTCAGATCTTTTAGGTTAGGAGAGGGACAGGCTTAGAAGGAAAACCATAACCAAAGCGTCTTGAAGAAGAGAATATAACTTGCCAAACTAAATGCCAGATACAAAACTGTCATGACTCAGCAGCGCTGCATCACGGGAAACCCCAGTGCTAGGAGAAGAAACAGCCCCAATGCAGAATGTTCCCTGAACAGATGTCCTCTCCAGCATCATTGTACTCTGACACTCCCTTACTTCTGTTTGGTTTCGATCCCTCTACAACACCTAAAACACAGTGAAAGCAATAGAAATATTGAGCGGTTATGTCACAGGGCACAACAGAGCACGTCCAGACTCGCACGACTGAGAACAGAAGATGCAGGGAGAAGGTTGTTTGGGGCAACTGCAGGGCTGCAGAAACATTCGCAGATAGATGGTCAGCTGATAGAGAGGAGAAAGGAGAGCCTCCCTTTACCTAGTAAAAAGGAAAAGGGAAAAAAAATTCCAAACTCCCAAACCCCACCACATGAAATTAAATTCAAAAGTTATCAGCATCAATATCATCAGGAAAGAAAAAAAAAAACCAATACAAACACATCTGTGGTAATAATGACAAGTCAATGAATCACTCACAGGAGAGCAAAAAGATCATCTCAACAAGAGAAGGAACAAATCGAAATGTCAATTTCTGAAAATAATGGGGAAGGGGACAGAGTAAGAACAACAAAAAACTTCGAAGAAGGGATCACATGTTTGGAAGTCATTGGTACCTCTTCCTACCAACTATTGATTTCACTTCCCAAAAACAACAGAAAACGTTTTTGGTCCTTGTATGTGTGTGTGTGTGTGTATGTGTGTGTGTGTGTGTGTGTGTGTGTGTGTGTGTGTGTACACTCAAGGGTCTCTGTGTGTGTATATGTCCATATATATATATGTATATATATATATATAAATTTCAACAGTGCTTCTCCGAAAAAATGTCCATCTATAAATATAATTTTATTTACTTTATTTTAAAATTATCTGCCTCCCTGTAGGTATTATTTTTTGAAGGGGGTTAACCTGCTGAAGTTTTGCCAGAATGGTGACTGGCTGCGCTTGGGTTCGGTGAACTCAAAGACCTGCGACTGAGCGATGCCATCGGGGACGAGGTACTGGCCCTGGTTTAATGGGTCCTGCGGTGGTGGGTAGGAAGGAGGAACTGAGCGGGCAGAGTTGACACCTAGAGTGGATGAAAGATAAAAGGGAAAGGGTATAAGTTAAGTAGCAAGGGGCTTCTCGAACTACCCAGCGACCGCTATGGGCAGACAATTCAAAGCAGTCTATTTTACACAGTGTGAACTGGAACTGAAAATCGCCAAGGGGAGACTTGCTACATTCCTTAACAGATTTTGGAATGGTGTGGTGATTACTGCAACAACACACGCTTTCCCATCTACACAGCATCACTGAGAAACTTGGGAGTGTTGCCATGAGTTGTTTTACAGATGAGCACACTGAGACCTGGAGGAAAACGTCATACCCAAGGTCGCAAAGCAAGGGCTAGAACCCACATTCTCTGACTTCTCAGTTCAGAGCTCTTTCCAAGAGACCATAATCCATTATGCAGGGCCCAGTCCTGCAAATAACCCAACAATATCCATTTAATGGCAAACAACATCTTTCCCTCTCCCACTCTCCCTGGAAGAGCCTAAAGAGCCTGGTTAAAAACTACTGACTTTGACCCTGACTGCTGTGGTTCAGTTGGTTGGGCGTCATCTCACAGGGTGAAAAGTTGCCGGTTCGATTCCCAGTCAGGGGTTGTGGGTTCGGTCTCTGGTCAGGGCACATATGAGAGGCAGCCCATCGATGTTTGTCTCTCACATAGATGTTTTCCTACCTCTTTCTCCCTCCTTCCCCTGTCTCTAAAAATAAATAAATAAAGTATTTGAAAAAAACAACCAGTGACTTCAGGGCGGGTCTTCGATGGAGGGAAATGTTTTTCTAAAAGCCAAGGTACAGGTGATCCAGTGTTCTACGCCAGGTTGAGTTATGAAACTATTTAATAGGGAAGTGATATAGGTAATTGAGGGAGAATGCGAACTCACCATCAGAAAATATGATACATGGAACACAAGAAAGACTTGGAATATATTTATGACCTTTCAAAGGGAATTATTCAATCATTTCTCAACTTTCATTAGGAGGGTTTGCAACTACCAAGGTAAAATCCACATGCATGGAGAATTCTGGGAACCAGGGGGCCTAATATTAATGTTTAATCTTAACCTATATTAAGAACAGAATAGGCTGAGATACACAGCATATGATTAAGAATGCAAGGAAGACCTCTCTGTGGCTCCCACATACCTTCTTCATCTGCTGGCCAGTGTCTGAAATTTCAACATTATAGCTCCTATCTTTGCCTTTGTTTGATGACATTGATCCCATTACACAGGACGAGGTATCATGTTAGGCTACCATCAGCTATTGGCACTTCAGTGGGAAGCAACTGTTTTTTTTTTTTCTATTGGGTTGGCCAAAAAGTCTGTATTTTTTTCCCATAAAATAAAAGACACATTTTTCATTTTCACCAGTAACTTTATTGATTTGGATATTTTGAGTATGTCGGCTATCTCCCATGTGATAGAATGTTGATTGTTTTCAATGAATATCTCAATTTGATCGCTGTTAACTTCAACCAGTCTACCCAACTGTGGAGCATCGTCCAGCGAAAAATCTCCAGCATGAAACTTTGCAAACCTCTTTTGACATGTTTGATCAGTCACAGCATCTTCTCCAAACACTGCACAAATTTTTGTTTCCATTTCAGTTGCACTTTTACCTTTCATTAAATAACAAAGCATGTAATATGCTGAAAGTGTTGCTTATTTTCTTCCACCTTCAATATTAAAATGACTACATAAAAATTCACCAATTTTGATAACTTTTTTGTAAATGCACACTGGTATGACAGCTGTCACAATACAATCAAACAATTGTTTTGAATGAAGTTAAAGACAACTAAGCACTATTAGAGCCATCTTCCAGAAAAAAAACAACAAATGAACTTTTTGGCCAATCCAATAAAAGGCAGTATTTTTTTTGTTTTGTTTTTGTTTTCCAGTTTTGTTGAAATATAACTGATATACAACATTGTGTAAGTTTAAGGGGCAAAACGTGATATTTGATACACAGATATATTGCAAGATGATTACTGAAATAAGGTTAGCTAGCACATCCATCACCCCACACAAGTATCATTTAAAAACTACTCTTTTAGCAACTCTTGAGTATACAGTAAGTATTGCTACCTATAGTCACCGCAGTGTACATTACAGCCCCTGGCAACCACCAGTCTAATTTCTGTTTCTGTAAGTTTGCCTTTTATAGATTCTAAATATGAGTGATATCATGTAGTATTTATGCTTTACTGTCTGACTTATTTCACATAGAATAATGTCCTCCAAGTCCATATATGTTTCCATAAATGGCAGGATTCCTTTCCTTTTATGGTTGAATAATATTCTATTGTGTGTGTGTGTGTGTGTGTGTGTGTGTGTGTGTGTGTGTACACACACTTATTTTTATTTTATCCAATTATCTGCTGGAGAACATGTAGGTTATTTCCATGTCTTGGCTATTGTGGATAATGCTGCAATGAACATATGGGGGGTGGAGATATCTCTTCAAGTTTCTGATTTCATTTCTTCCCCATATATATTCAGAAGTGGCATTTCTAGGTAAGATAACAGGTTTAATTTTAGTTTTCTGAGGACCCTCCAAACTGTTTTCACTGTGGCTTACAGTGAACAAGGGCTCCCTTTCCTCTACATCCTTGCCAGCACTTTACTACCCCTTGTCTTTTTGATAACAGCCATTCAAACAGACAAGAGATAATATCTAATTGTGGTTTTGATTTGCATTTCTCTGATGATTGGTGATGTTGAGCAGCTTTTTATGTATTTGTTGGCCATCTGTGTGTCTTCTTTTGAAAAAGTCTATTCAGGTCCTGTGTCCATGTTTTAATTGGAATACTGTTTTGGGGTTTTTTTTTTTGGCTATTGGGTTTATGAATTGCTTATATATTTTGAATATTAATCCCTTATCAGATATATGGTTTGCAAATATTTTCTCCCACTCTGTAAGTTGCCTTTTCACTGTGTTGGTCGTTTCTTTTGCTGTGCAAAAGCTTTGTATTTTAATGTAGTCCCATTTGTTTCTTTTTTATTCTCTTCCTTGTGTTTTGAATATCATATTCAAAAACTTGTTGGCAAGACCGTTATCAATCAGTATTTTCCCTATGTTTTTGAATAGGCCCAACATTATTATTAACTGAAGTCTACCGTTTACATTAGGACTGACACTTTCTATTGTACAGTCCTGTGACTCTTCAAAAAAGCATGATGTCAAGCGCCCAACATTCTAGTATTAACCTTTTATTTTTAGGTTAACAGGTTTTCTTATTGTTAATAATTTTAAGAATTTATGCTATATTTTGGATACAAGACTTTCACCAGATATGTATTTTGCAAATATTTTCTTCCAGTCTGTCTTGTGTTTTCATTCTTTTTTAAACTTATTGTATTGAATTATTGGGATGGCACTGGTTCAAAAAACCATATAGGTTTCAAGTATACAACTCAACAAAACATCATCTGCACACTGTATCATGTGCCCATCAACCAAAGCAAAGTCTCTTTCTGTCTCCATTTAGCCCCCTTTGCCCACCTACACCTACCCCCCGTCTACCTTTCCCTCTGACAATCACCACATTGTTGTCTGTGTGTCTGCGTCTGTCCGTAAAAAGTCCAGCCATTGTTAATAAAGTGAGAATGGTTCACACAACATCGATGTAACCTGGCAGCCAAGGAGAGTGGACTGGAATGTGCATGTGTGAACAATGACGACTTCACTCTACTAGTCAGTGGGAGCGGTAGACGCTGTTGAGTGAGCATGTGTACTGTGTGGCCGTTGCATTCAAAATGACTGAGCGAGGAGAGCAAAACGAATCTGCATCAAATTTTGCGTTGAGCTTGAACATTCCTCCGCAGAAACTATTCAGATGGTGAAGACTTTTGGGAATGATGCAATGAGTGCAGTGCAAATAAAGTGTGGCACAAACGCTTCAAAGATGGTCGAGAATCTGTTGAAGGTGATCCATGTTCAGGAAGGCCTGTAACAAGCAGAACACCTGAGAATGTTGAATGTGTACAGGCTGCAATGAGCAAAGATCAGCGACTGACAGTGCTAGAACTAGAAGCTGATCTGGGGATTCCAAAAACTACTGGGTCCGAGATTTTGATGCAGGATCTTGGCATGAAATGTGTCATGGCAAAATTTGCCCTGCAGCTTCTGCTACCAGAGCAGAAGGAACATCATGCTGCGGTTGCTAATGACTTGATTCAAACTGCTACCTATGAACAAGATTTCCTCAAGAAGGTCATAGCTTTGAAGGGGACTGAGATGTCATTGTCTTATGTACAATGTTTCTTGTATCATCTTCAATAAATGCCTCTATTTTTCATATTACATGCTTAGATACTTTCTGGATAGGCCTCAAAATTATATATATATAAAATCCCTTCACCTTCTTTTATTCAGTCCCTCAAACTCCTCCCCTTCTGAAAGGTGTCAATCTGTTCCATGTTACCATGCTTCTTTTCCTATTTTGTTCAGTAGATTCCACATATGAGTGAAATCATATGGTATTTGTCTCTTTCACTGGCTTATTTCACTTAGCATAATGCTCTCCAGGTCCATCTATGCTGTCACAAAAGATAAGATTTCCTTCTTTATTAGGGCCGAGTGATATTCCACTGGGTAAATATTCCACAGCTTTTTACCCACTCACCTACTGATGAGCACTTGGGCTGTTTCCAGATCTTGGCTGCTGTAAGTAATGCTGCAGTGAACATAGGAGTGCGTATGTTCTTTTGAATTAGTGTTTTGGGCATCTTTGGATATATTCCCAGAAGTGGGATCACTGGGTTAAAAGGCAGTTCCATTTTTATGATTTGAAAAAACTCCATGCTATTTTCCACAGTGGCTGCACCCGTCTGCATTCCCACCAACAGGGCACTAGGGTTCCCTTTTCTCCACATCCTCCCCAGCACTTGCTGTTTGTTGATTAATTGATGGTAGCCATTCTGGTAGGTGTGAGGTGATCCTCATTGTGGTTTTAATTTGCATTTCTCTGATGATTAGTGATGTTGAGCACCTTTTCATATGTCTATGGGCCCT